AGAGAGAGAGAGAGAGAGAGAGAGAGAGAGAGAGAGAGAGAGAGAGAGAGAGGGAGAGAGATAGATAGATAGATATTATGGGGAGTAGAGTATCCCAGTGTTTTTTTTCTTTAAGTGTGTGTGTGTGTGTGTATGTGTGTGTGTATCTGTGTGTACAGGTCACAGAGTATATGTAAAGGTCAGAGTTCAACTTGCAAAAGTTAATTTGGTTTCTTTTTTCCAAAGATCAAACTCTGGCTATCAGACATGGCAGCGGCAGCATGTACCTTTACCATACCCCATCTTGGCAGCTCTGGATTTCTCTTTTGTAGACTTATTTTATATATAAATTATTTAACTATGTGTGTCTTGTGAGGGCATGTATGTGTGGAGGTCAGAGGAAAACTTCTGGGAGTCAGTTCTGTCCTTCTACCATGCTGGCTTTGACGTTAAACTGAGCATCTTGCAGCCCCTGTAGGGATACAATTCATTCATTCATTCATTCACTCACTCACTCACTCACTCACTCACTCACTCATTCATTCATGCATTTGTGCATTCTTTCTCCTTTTCTCGATCTTTCCCTCCCTCCCTCTCACCCTCCCATCTCTCTGTGTTTTAAGGGAATAAGAAATAGTTTATTTTGTAGCCATTTTGAGTGACCATGGTCTGGGAACATAGAACACAGATTTATGTTACCCTAAATTCCATGTTCCAGCACTGAAGCAACTTCTTGATGTTTTGTATAGCTTTAAAGAACAAAGAAAGCCATAAATTAAGGCAAGCTTAAAGTATATTGGTGGAAATATCAGAGAGACAGGTATAGCAAGATAGAGGAAGCTTTTCTATAGGCTGAAGATGCTATCTGATGACAGTCCTAGCTTTTGGGTGGGTAGAGGATAGTGGTCTATTAAGTTAGTAGATTCTAAAAGCTTTTAAACTATTACTCACAAGATACCAGTTCTGAGACAAATATGGGCAAGGAATGGCAGTTCTGGAGGGCTAGAACCTAGCCCAAGATAAGATAAGTAGTCTCTGGAGCTGCAGCCAGCATTGAAGTCTGTTCACATTTGTGCAGTTCTAGCCAGTCAGCCAGCCTCTACAGACATAGCTTCTCTTGTTTGCTCTTCATACTCTGTTCTCCCATGCTGGGTCTTGTAGACCTCTTTTGCCCCACAGCTCACTTGTCTTTCAGGTTCTAACAAAATTATTACTCTTGTTTTCTCTTTCACACTTTTTTTTGGAGACGCTGTATTACTGTGTATAACTTAATTCTCTACGTAGCCAACCTTGGCCTTGAACTCATGATCCCCTACCTCAGCCTCCTGGATGCACAGATTATAGGCATGCACCCTACTCCTTTCTCTCTATTACTTCTGTCCTAACCTCACAGATTCTTTTTGCTTCATCATAGCGTAAGTCACACCTGGCCCTTGTTCTGAATCATGCCCTGGCTGTGTATCTATTCAGGGTTTGCTTTCTCTGCTTGTTGTTTTGTATATTTATCACTCATACTTTAATCTGACAAAAATTCTTTTTCCAAGAAAAGAGCTTCCTGTGACAAAGCAGCTCAGAGGCCGGTGTGCTATGTACCTAATCACTGTTATTTCAAAGTAGCCAGATGATAACAGATATGAGTCAGGTAATTCATCCACACATCCACACTTAGCTGCTGCTTACCTTTGTAATAGACTGTGTTGGGGCAGGAAGTGACCTCATTCATGCTGTAGGCATGGGTGTATTATGGTAGAGATATGGAGAGGGCGCTTTGGAGCAGAAGGATGTAAGAAAGGGAAGGATTTCATTAGGCTGGTACCAGAGGAAGAGTTTCCTGGGAAGAAGACCTGAGTTTGGTCTGTAAGACGTGAACACATGGGGAATTGCAAACCTACCAAGTCAGCAAAGAGTAGCATGGGCTGTAAGAGTACCATGGCCAGGTAGGGGAGGTGGACTGTTTTGACAAGCAGCAGATAATCTTATAGGCTTGGTTTTTGGTACTGGAGAGTGATCTCAGGGCCACACCCATGCTCATAAGTGCTTTACTTCAGTAGGAGGATCACCATCAAGCTGAATGTTTGTAGACTTTTAAATAGAGGGATTATCACCTTTTCTTGTCTCTTCCAGATTCTTTCTGTCAGAATAGACCAAGACCTAATAAAAAGTGACTAACACTACCCAGGCATGAAGTGGTATAAATTGGAAAGAAAGTAGCTGCAAGATTGATAGTTTTTTCTTTAATTTCTCAATTTCTCAGTTTTTTTTCCAATTATGAGATTGGAGAAAGAACAACCATAGGCTAGCATGAACAGAGACTAGATTGGGAGAGTTCATTCCCAGGAGAGAAAGAATGCACTCCCAGGGAGCAGGAGTTTCCATTTAGTGCGAGGTAATGCAGCAGATCCACATTTAACATGAAGACTTTTGTACAGTGATAGCTGTCTTTACTAGTTTCCTTTTGTCTTCTTTGTGACCACCTTTTGGGTCCAGGGACATGGCCCTTGATAAAAATACATGGTTTTAAGGTGGGTGAGAAGGATGGAGCAAAGCTCCAGATGTTTCTCTCAGCACTTCCATTTTGTGTCTGTTTCGAAAGCCTGGTATAGCTGTTGTTTTCTCCTGCATTGGGTCTCTGTACTTCTGAGCTCTTAAATCTTCAAATTTGGCATGACTGCCCTCTAGTGGCAGGTTTGATGCACCCTTTTGTTACCCTGCTGTTGACAATACCACAATAGTTCTCACTGCTCAGTTTTGTATTTAGTAAACATTCCCAAGTCAGATATGTGAAGGACAGATTCAGTGATACTGAGTTAAGACCCAGGGACTTGGGCTGGGCTTGGAAATTTTGACTCCTGCATTTACACACTGTAAATGCAACAGGAGAGAAAGAGTAACTCATTTATGATAGCTCATACCAATAATCACAGCACACAGGAGATAAGTCAGGATTACAGTAAATCCAAACCTAACCTTGGTTATGTAGTGAGTTCTAGGCAAGCCTGGGCTACAGCGTGAGACCCAGTCTCAAAACACACACACACACACAAACAAAACGAATGAAACAAAAAAGATTATGCAGTTATAATGTCTCCATATGTTCTGTGAAGAGCAGAAGAGAATCTGAGGGTAAGGACATAACTCAGCAGATAAAGCACTTGACATGCAAATGTGAAGAGCAGAGTTCAGGTCTCTAGAACCTGTTTGCTGTCCACTGGGCACAGTAGCCTGCCTATAGTTCTAGTGCTTGGAAGGTGGAGTCAGGGATCAAGCTAGCTAACTAGGGTAGCCTCAACAGAGTTAAAGCTGCAGTTAAGAGACTATCTCAATACAATTGAAGAGGACTCCTGATAGCAGCTTTGCCCCTACCACATGCCACTCCACATACATGTGAAAAATGTATTGTTATCTACTTAGCTAATCTAAAAGGGTTAAATGTGATGAATTGTTGAAGAGAAGAACGGCAGTCTTAAAACCTGTTTAGCATTTCATGTTCATGTTAACTTTGAAGATAGAAAAAAAAACCCATGAAGCTTGATGGCTCCTTTATATTATAGTTTATGTTTTGGTTAAATTTTTTTTATGAGGAAGTTACATTTATTCCTTTGAGGAGAAATTAAGAAAAAATACAAAATAACGTTTATTGGTGTTTAAGTCTTACACCTCATCTCATAACAGGCAAGTTCTGTGAGCACTTTCTTTTTAAAAGTCCTTTTCAGTGGAGCGAGAACTGCAGGAGAACAACAGTAATTACCCAGATGAGCCCTGGAGGATAACAGAGGAACAACGGGAGTACTATGTCAATCAGTTTCGATCCCTCCAGCCAGACCCGAGTTCCTTCATTTCAGGTGAGAGGACATGGTGTTCTGGAACGTGAAGCCCATGTGAATAACTGCAGAACATCTTGAGAAACAGTCGATACAAAATGAATACTATAACCTTCTTTGATTCCAATTTGTATTCCTCTAAGGTAGAATTTCTTATCAAGTATAAGTCATGCAGAAAAAAAAATGGTACTGACCTTGGGAAAATTACACTGCTATTGCAGAAAGGTAAATGGGAATTTGGGAGACCTTAGTCCAGATCCTCTACCTTATCTGCTAAAGCACTTGGAACAGTAGATGGCAGTGCCAAGGGACACCTCAAATTGCTTACTCATTATATTAGAGTCAGAACAAAGACCAAGTGTAGCCTTCCTTCCGGCAGAGCTCCCTCAGGCTTTATGCGCCCAGAAGTTTAAGCACAGGCCAGTTTCTTTGGCTTAAGTCTTTCTTTCATGGTTCTTGAAATTAAGATATGAAAGGAAGACTGGCCAGCATTTTCTCAGTCAGTTCTTCTCGATTATTGTCAGATATCTGCATTCCTTTTGTACTCTCATGTAAAATTCAAGCTGAGGGGAATTGATTTAATTCCCATGTGCCTACATTTTACCAGGCTGATGACTACGCAAACAGTGAAGTAGTAGAGTCTGGAAGAAAAAATGATAAAACTTTCTTCTTACACTTCAAATGTAAAGGATAACAGTGTGGTTTGATCATTCTAAGCTAACAGTCAAGCATGGATTAAGATTACTTTTCTATGAAATAAGGTATATAATTGATATATTCCTGTATATGTAAAGGTAAACATCATTTCAGTGATTGGTGGTAAATGACCTTATGGAAGGTAGAATAGTATAGAAATAACAAAGGAATTTACCATCATGATTTAGAATAGATGAACAGAAATCCAGATTCCGTACATTGACTACTTGATAACCTTACCTCTTGCTCATCTGAGTCTTTTCACAATTTATTCAGATACTTAGCTAAATATGGATAAATCATTGTTGGAGGTGTTTTTAAAATTTCTTTCAACCGTTTTATTTTTTCAGATTTTCAAGTATAGATACAACTTGACTCACAACTATAACAAATCCCCATGGACACGTGCTGACAATTTTATATAGTCCCTCTCAGCAGGGATCGTCTTGAAATATGATTGCCAGACCATTTGATTTGAAAAATGTTTCAGGATATATCTTTGGGTTTCTTAGAAAAAACATAACCAGAACTCACTGATACATGTGAGAAAAAAAATCACAGATTCTTTAGCACAATCAAGTCTTTATTGTTCAGAATTTTCTGATCGTCTCATATATTTTTTTAAATGTTAAGTTTGATTACAATGAAGAAGTTCATAATGGCATTAGTTGATGTCTTTTAAAATAAGTGTCTTAGTTGAGATATAATACCATAAAACTTACCATTTGAACTGTGCAGTTCAGTGGTTTTAGTTCATTCACAGAGAAGATTCATAAGCTAAGTTCAGAACCTTCCCATCACCCCTCTATAACCCATCCACTTAGTAGCAGTGCCTCCCTACTCCTGTCTTCTCCACCTCGAAGACCTAGCTCACTACTGTATGTTCTTTCTCTAGATTTGTATGTTTTGGGCTTTTCATATAAACAGAGTCTCTTTTTCTGGTGGCTTGGTGGTGGAGCTGGAGTGAAAGAACATGAGGACTTCTCACATGGTGCACTCAAAGGAGACAGGACTCTTGGGCTTTCTCCTCTGCTCCTTCTTTAGCTGGTGACATCTGGGACACAGCTGAACTTGATAGCTGTCAGCTTCCCAGTGCCTTCCACCTAACTTTTTTGAGACTCTATGGACAGTAGTCTCCAGTGTGAAAGCCAGCATTAGCTAATGGGTTGGGACTACTATGCTTTGAAGGGAATGGATCCAGCAGAAGACAGACTGATAGGAGAATGTCTTCATATCTTGGTTGCTATAGGATAGTTGGTAAATGAGCCAACAAATTTTGTCTATCAAGTGTTTCACAAGGTGGTTGGTTGCATTGGTAGCCACGAGTCATGTGTTAGCATTATTGACAGTACATTTAGGGAGAAGGCTCATTGGGTTATTGATACTTTGCTTTAATTCTTAATAATTTATCAAAAGAAAGTTAATTGCTGCTTTAGGATCCATTATAACCCTTTTTAAATTTTATTTTGAAGACAGTATTTCACTGTGTAACCCCTGCTGGTCTGGAACTTGCTATGTAGGCCAGGCTAGCTTCAAACTCACAGAGACCTGCCTTGCTCTGTCAACCGAGTGCTGGGATTAAAAGTGTGCAGGCCATGCCTGGCCTGATTTTTCTCTGTTTGTTTATGTAGTGTTGGGGCATGGATCCCAGGGCTTTGCATATGGCAGTCAAGTATCTACCACAAACTAAATTCTCACTGATTCTTGTTGTTTTAAGGCCAATTAGAAAACTTGTAATTGCTCTGGGAGACTTTGGATTTATCTTCGAACAAAACTTGGGGCTTTAATGCTCTCTTGTGTTAGAAATGAGGCTTTTGAATTGTGAAACGGTTGGAAGCATGAAAACAGGAGAAAGCTCAGTGAGGGCTAACATTTCAAGCACAGCTGGGCTGATGGGATAATAACTCAATTTCAGTTGACATAGGGAAATTTACAGTGAAAAGAGTCCTGGCTGAATTGTTTAAAATGCCACCAAGAAATCTTAAATCTCATCAAAACTATTTCTCAATATTTTTGGTAGGGTTAATGATATACCATTTTTCCTTTTTGCTTATCATTTTTCTATGACTCTATATTGCCTTTTCATTCTCTAAGTATAAAACTCAACATATTTTTATTAAGTAATTTTGAAAGTTTTCTTAGGCATTTTTAATGAAAATGTGCAGTTTTGGTAAACACAGCAGGAGTTTCTGATTTGTATTTGTCATGAGGATTTGTCATTGCATTGTCTTTTTTTTTAACATAATCTATATTCCTTTTATTTGTATTTTTCTAATTTTTGCAGCACGAAGAATCAATCTTTGGCCCTCAGACATGCTAGGCAAGCCACATGCTGTTTTATGAGAGTCCTTGTAATTGTTTTTGCTTGAGGAATAAATGCATTTTTAGCTATTTGCTAGAGATTGTTAAAGGAAAACATGGTGATTTGCTTGCACATCAAAGCTGCTTCAGACCAGTAAGTAACGGCTGACTTAAATCATGGCTTTTGACAGGGTCTGTGGCCAAGAACTTCTTCACCAAATCAAAGCTCTCCATTCCAGAACTCTCTTATATCTGGTGAGTACGTTTACTGCCAAGTGTTATCATACGCTCATCTTTTAGCTGATTTGAAATTTAACTTTTTAAGATGTGATTTTTGTTTGCTTTGAGATGGAGTTTTACTTTGTAGTCTAGAATGACCTGTAACTCACTGTGTAGCTCAGGATAGCCGCAAACTTGCCGTAAGTATCATGCCTCAGCCTCTCAAGTAAGTTTTGATTTTTGAGTTTGTTTTTGGTGGTGCTAAGGTTTGAGTCCAGAGCTTCACACATACCAGGTAAGTGTTCCACTGCTGAGCCCCACTCCCAGCCCTGAAAAGTTTATTTTCTGGATGATTTTTTAAAGCAGATTGAGAGTAAACATAACTCAAGTTTTTTTTCTTTTTTTATGCTATGAAGATTAAATAAATTATCTGAAAACCACAGTGACCAGTATCATATGTGCATAGTGAGCCCTAAGTGTTAGCTACTAGTAATTTCTGCAGACTAGAGAGATGGCTGCTCTTTTAGAGGGGCTGATTTTGATTCCTAGCACCCACATGGCACTCCTGACTGCCTGTAATTCCAGCTCTGGGGGATTCAACACACTTTTTGGTTTCCTAGGGCACTGTATTCATGTGGTACACACAGATGTACACATATATGTACATATAAGAAAAGGAATTTCCTACTTTTATTCTTTTCCCATCCTGATTTCAGTCTAGGCAGTTGTGCACATGTGAGACATTCTGTCATACATTTTATTTTCATATTTTTAACTTAGTGTGAGGCAAGGAGCCAGAGGACCTTGAAAAGCCATTCTTCATAATATTTTATAAGGTAGGGTGAACAGAAGGTCCAAGAACATTCTGGAACAAAGTTAAATTTGTCTATTCTAGATGCCTGTGAACTGTGTAAATTTGGCAGGTGTTTCACAGCTGGGCCCTAATTCAGCCTGTGCAGCTGCAGTGTGGGCTCTGCCTTGTTGCTGAGGCCTGCCATAGTTGTAGCTCCAGGAGGGCTATGCTGCAATGGTCCAGATGGTTCCCTTTGCATGTCTGAAAATGCTCAGCACCATAAACTCTTGCCTCTGTGGATCATGCTGTTATAAATATATATTAAAACATTGGAATATTTATGTAAAGAGTTTTTCATGATGCATTACAAAATTATGATAGAATTTTGCATCACATACCATATATTGTGGATCTTATTGAAAAACTATTCCTGGTATATCGTGCATGCCAGTGTAGCTGGGATTTTGAGCTGGATTTAGTTTTTTTAACTGTATAGTCTGGCTTTTTTTTTTTTTTGTAACAAGTCTTATGTTAGATTTTAACGGTAGGAAAAAAACCCAACCATTTTGAAAAGAATAGAGTCTGTTTTGGCAGAGCTCCCAGCTTTAACATTACCCTGTGAGGCTTCCTGTCATTTTGTAGAGACAAATGCATGAAGGCTAAATGGCATATTCTCCATCCGGCATCTGAAGCAGTTCCCAGATGCCTCACCCTGGGGAGCAGCTGTTTCAGGGCTGCTGCATTCTGAATGAGAGCAACAGTCTCATGGGGAATAGGAGGATGCAAATGGTCCAAAGCAAAGGTAGAGGCCTTCTCTTAGAGGTTTTTTTCCCCAATAGCGACATCTTTTTAGTACAGTTTTACACAAGTCCTTTCTACACTTGGCCTAATACAAGTATGCTTGTGTCTGTATACTACAGAGATGTTGGTGCTTAAGGGATCTTAGTTCTTTTTAGCAAATAGGTTTCTTTTGTGTTTAATGAATAGGTATGTGTCTTCTAGTGAAAGATGGTGACTGAAGTAAAGACATGCCTTTTTAAGACTCCCTTTCTTCATGTTTTCCTTTTCCAGTACCAGCCTTTTTCTAGTTGCTACTTTTATGTTAAAATATGATACAACCAGTGTTTCTTGAATCTCTCTATATTCCTATATACTCTCATTTTCTCTGTTCCCCTCTCCCCTTCTGTCGCCTCCGTCTTTCTCCTGCTTTTGCTCATCCCATCTCTGTATCCATGTTTTAAAACAGGTCCCATGTATCTCTGGCTGGCTTTGAAATTCTTATGTAGCTAAGGCTTGAACTCCTGATCTTCTTGCCTTTGCTTCCCAAGTGCTGGGCTTACAGGTATATACCACTATGCCCAGCTTTCTAAGAAAAAAAAATCTCATGCAGAGACTAACTTGCTACCAAAATGCACATTTCTTGAGAACATTTTCCCTTAAAACTGAAAAAAAAAAAAGAAGTGCCTATGTCTATGGTCTGAATGAACTCCTTAGTGGCTGTGTCTGCCCTTCCTTGGCTCATTTCCAGCATCGAGTCCAGCACTCTTCACACTACACAGCCTGCACTTATCGAGCAACTGTCAGGTAACTGCAAAAATCCAAGCATCACTTTTTTTTCTCCTCACTAGAATTCTCTATGCCTTGTCTCAGTGTTGAAAAAAACCAGACTTAATGGAGAGCCGGAAGAATTTCCATTTTCATTTACAAAGTGCCACTGATGGTACTGCCACAGATCAGCTTGTTTTTGTTCCCTCTCAGTGGCCCCTTGGGTTTCACATGGGTTTGCCTGAGAAACTTTGAGGTTATCACAGGCCATGGGCAGGTATCTGGGAACTGTGTGTGCAGGGTTGAGGCTGATTGTTGCTGCATGACGAGCAGCTCATGACATCTTTCATCTTCTAGGGAACTCAGTGATGCTGACTGTGATGGAGCCCTGACCTTGTCTGAGTTCTGTGCTGCATTTCATCTCATCGTAGCCCGGAAGAACGGCTACCCACTGCCAGAGGGCCTGCCTCCAACTCTGCAGTCAGAGTACTTGCAAGCAGGTAAGGCCTTATCATACATCATAAACCTTAGCTATATTTTGTGAATGCCTAATAACAAACTCTTACTTCTTAAAATGATGTCTGGACACCAGGGAGTCCTTGACATCTGAAGATTCTTTCTTTAACTTGTATCAGACTTCCACATGTTAGAATATGAGTTATAGGGATGATTTAAGGAAGTATAAACCATCTGTTCTTCTATTTATGGTGTCTTCTGGGTACATTAGAACCAATATCACTGGTTTTTTTTTTTCATGACAGTCATGGATGGCAAGTACTGAATCCCACTGTTGATAGAAAATACATCTTATAGAGGCAACTATAAGCTTGGCATCTTGAGACATATCCTAGTATCTCTAATTGGTCTTTAGCAGGGTAGTTCAAAGCTATAAGGTTTTTTTCTTTAATAATCAATCATAGAACTAATAATCTTTTCTCCAAATTAGAAGATAGACTTGTAAGGCTACATTGCATCGTTTGGTGGACTATGTATGAGCCATTTTTGATACATCCATGTTTGGGAGACTGGGTGGATTCCAGGAGAACATTTTTGTTATATAGCGTGTTAAAATGTTTTTAGTGTTGTCTATGTGAAAGGCACCATGTTTTCACTGTGGTCTGGGAAGAGGTGCTGAGAAGAAGGTTGGACCACTCAAGGGATAGGAACTTCAGGCTATGGTGGTTGGAGTGTATGGAACAAAGAAGAGAGGCCAGGATGAGGCTGAAGAGAAAAGCAGGGAACAAATCATAAGCAAGAACATTGGCCCAGGGCAGACCAGGAAGGGTTAAAAAACACATTGCGTTTAGTTTTTTTTAAAAAAATATTTCATTAAAATTTGACTTCCTAACAGTGTATCTTGACATATTTGATTAACTTCTATTTATTATGTTTTTCCTCTTGAAATATTAGCAACTTTTTAAAAGTCATTGTGATTTTTCTTTCTTAGTTACCTCATGGCAAAGTAGTAAAGTAGAATGCACTCTTAAGAAGGAACCTGGCAGCCAGGCCATTAGCTTATAATGTAGCCTCCTTTCTCTCTCATGCCAATTTCCTGAGCTTCCCAACTAACAACTACTTTTGCTGTTGTATGCTCTAAGAGACTTGTAATGCTATTTCTCTTTTGTCAGTCAGTAAGAAAGTATGCTTTTATTTTTGTTACTCCTGCTAACCAAAGAGATAAATATTTTATGAAGTTATGTTTGGTATATATTATTTTAGAATCTTGCTTATTTCTAGCAATACCTAAAAGGAGGTATTTTTTGTTAATCTTCATAGTATTTAAACCATTGTTATGGCTACTGCATTTAAAATTGTGTTTAATATGATTAAAACTTAACATATCATGGTAGTCAGTGTGGCAAATTATTATCATGTTGTAACATTCATTACTAAGAGCAAGAATTCGTCAGCTGGACTTCTGGGTGTTCAAGTCTCTGTTGGTCACTTACTGGCTGTATGCCCTTGAGTGAGTTGTTTGCCTTCCCTGTTTCTCAGTTTCAGCATCTGTGAAATGGGAATAACACTACTAGATTGTGTTTGTAAAGATCTTCAAATGCTGTCTCTTTACAACTAGTGATGTAAATAGTACATGTGAATGAGCTGACTTTTGTTACATTTAATGAGCACAGAAACACTGTTAAGACATTCCACTATGGCTATAGTAAATATTCTTATGTATTCTTTTGCTTCCTGCTAGCTTTCCCTAAATCCAAGTGGGAGTGCGCAATTTTTGATTCTTATTCTGAGTCAATGCCAGCAAACCAACAGTCCTGTGACTTGAATCGGATGGAGGTAAAGAAATAAAACATAAAGCTTACCCATGTTAATCAGGATGTATGTAGAAGTAAACCATAGCTTATGTCTTCACAAACTATGGAAAATGAGCAGTTAGAGCAAAACCCAAAATAAAACCCACTTTTGATTAGCACCACTTGCCACAGTTCCCATCGCCACCCTTTTATGATCACTAGTCAATCTTATTATATGTATTTATTCATGGGGGAGTTGAGTACACAGGCTATGACATCAGTATGGAGGACAGGGGACAACTTTCCCTTTACAGTCAGTCCTTTCCCTTTACAATGTGGGACCTGGGGGATTGAACTTGGGTCCTCAGATGTGACAACAAGTGATCTCTGACCCACTGACCCATCTCCGTGACTCCCACTAACCTTTCTGTTTCTGGTTTGGTCTATTATAAGCATTTCTTATAAATAGGACAATGGTGGATGTGTGCTTTTGAGTATCTTTTTCACTTAGCATAATGTTTTGAAAGTACTTCATTCCTTTTTAGTAGTGAATAGTTTTCATTGTATGGATATGCTACATTTTGCTTATTTCTCCCTCCTTGTTGCATATTTTGGCTATTATGAACCTATATGAGTAAGTTTTTCAAATGGGCAAATTTGATTGTTTCTCTTTGGAATTGTTGGATTGTACCGTAACTGTGCTAAACTTTTGAGGAACCACCAAACTGCATTATTTCACTTCTCCAACCAGAAATTTATAAGAACTCCTGTTTCCTCATAGTCCTGATCGCCCTGGTTCCTGTCTTTTTTATTTTAACCATCCCAGTGGGATGCATGTGTGTCTCATGATGGTTTCAGTTTGAATATCACCAGAGATGTTGAACATTTTTTTCATGTGCTTGTTAGCCATTTATATATTTCCATTGGTGAAATAGCCATTAAAATCTTGTGTTCATTTTTATTTGCTTTTTGTTTCCTTTAGGTGTTTTAAGCAAGTGCTTTACCATTGAGCTATATCTTCAGTTAGGTTTTTTCAGTGACATTTTGGATTCATTTTGTCTGAATTGTTTTATTCCTAGACCATTTTCTTCTATAATGCAGTCAAGATGGGAAGAAGACAGTAAAAGAGATGCACTATTAAGATATATTTTCTGGCCACCTTTGTATTGCCAACTGCTTGCTCTGTAAAGACTGGAGATCATAAGTTCAAGGCCATTCTGGGCTATGGACTGATTTTAAGGCTAGTCTGGGAAACTGAATGAAACCCTGCCTCAAAACAGAAGCAGAAAAGCACAATGAGATATTGTTTAGTGCTATAGCCAGTTGCCTAGAATGCTATGAGACTCTAGGTTCAATCCCCAGCACTGTAAAAGAAAAAGACATTGATAATTTATTGGAGATAATACACTATGAATAGGAGATTATTTCTGGGGCTTTTATTGTACTGTGGAGAATCACCTCTTAGGACAGGAATGCATGCCATGTCAAACCAATTGAAGGTTGTGTTAGCTCTCCTTTTAGAAGAAACAGCTAAAATGTAGATGGAGGCTATGTACTAGCCCACAGAAAAATGATAGTATATAAATCAAAAAGTGAGAGGGCCTTGTGAGATTTCCTCCTTCCACATTGGAATGTCAACCGTTGTTATCATTGACTTACCCCTAGATGAAGAGCTACAGGAAATGAATGACTGCTAAGAGAGGGAGGATCAGCCTTCTCTAGGGACAAGATCCCTGACAGGTTACCTAGTCCCAAGTGATCATCCCTAAAACATGTACATATAAGCAACACTAAATGAACTTAGCAGACTGTGTCATATATCCATACATTCATATGTTTATAAAAGTAATTATGAAAGAAGAGGAGGCCATGGATTTGAAAAGGAGTGGGGGGGGGGGACATAGGATTTGGAGGAGAGCATATAAGAGAAGTGCTATAAAGACAGCACTTAGATATGAAATTCTCAAAAACTAAATTAAAAATGAAGGGAAAGATTGGACCATCATGTACACAACCTAAAAGTAAAACATAGCTCTTTTAAGAAATGCACCTAAAGTTTCTTCCTGCATTCTGGAATTTATGCAGTATCCATGAATGTATAATCCAGCCTGCTGTTTGGTTTAAATGGATGTTAGCCTGAGAAATGTTATAATTTTTGCTATTTTGTACTGAGAAAATATTTTCCAGTTTATCACATAACTCAGTGGATGTTTGAGCTGTCTGTCTAGTGGTTTCTCTGTAGTGATACATAAAATATTTTTACTTTAAAGTGATTATATACTATATTATGCTATAACTGTGACATTAACACTTGAAGAATCACCTAGATGAGGCTTGTTAGACCCTTGATCAGGTTCCCACATAGCAGTGCTATGACATTTATTTTGGAAACATTTAAAACTAGAAGTCTGTCTTTGAGTTCTGAGAAGTAAATGAAAGTTAACCACTGGACCAAAGACCTCTATGCTTTTAATCACTATCCTTACATTTTTACATCGATTTCTAAGTTTCAAATCTATTTAAAATGTACCAAAGTGCATTTGGTGACAAGTTATCCCGTCACTCTTCTGTCTACCTAGCCATTTTCCATTTTTAGATACCTTCGTAGACCTTGCACATAAAGATGGCACAAATATGAATATATTTTATTCTTTAACCACAGCAAAGGCCTTAGAATACATACTTTCCAGCTTCCCTGATGTCTAGTATATTAGTCTAGTAAGACCAGTAAAATTTCACATATTTTTGATGTCTTGATACATGTATAGAGACATACATACATTGTGAAGTCATTACCACAGTCAGGCCAAGTAGTTCTCTAGTCACCTTTGTTTCAGTGTTAGCTTTGTTTCAGTGGAGATTTAAGATATGCTCTCTGGGCAGTTTTTAAACACATTATATTTTACTATTACTATAGTTAGAGTACATATTGAGAAAGCTTAGTACAGTTACTAGACTTTAAACTATTTGAAAACAATTCATATGTGATCAATTTGAGTATTCAATTAATATACTGAGAACTTTTCCTTTTTTCTTTAATCAATTCACTTTATATCCCTATCAAAGCTCCCTCCTCTCTTCTCAGTTCCATCCTTTCAAGCCCCTCCCCCACTACCTGTCTTCCTTTTCCTCAGAAAAGGAGAAATACCTTATGGGTATCAATCTACCCTGTTCTTATCTATGAGTTAGAGAAATGTTTTTTTGAGTCTCACTAGGTAGCCCTGGCTGTCATAGAAGTCACTATGTAGACCAGGCTGGCCTCAAACTCACAGAGATCCGCCTGCTCTTCCAGGGGACCTGGGCTCAATTCCTGGCACCCACACGATAGCTCACAGCTGTCCGTAACTCCAGTTCCAGGGGATCTGATATCCTCATACAGGCATACATGCAGTAAAAACACCAATTCACATAAAAATGAAAATAAATCTTTAAAAAGTGTGTGTGTGGGTTGCCACTGTGCCCAGCTTTAGGGGAAATTTTTGATCTACTCATCAATAAACATCTACAATGAGGAGACTGGACATCCACTACGTAACAGATCCTGGCAAGTACTCACACTGTAGGCTCACTTATCACAGCCTCTCCTGTTGTGAAAAAGGCTCTAAAGGCCAGGTTGGTTCTTGGCTGACTGGACAAATGTAAAAAAAAAAAAAAATCTCTGCCTCTCTCGTAGTCAAGATTCAAATTCAATGAAACATTCACTAATAAGCCTTGATTTGAATTTCTGTTTCTCAAATATGTTTCTTTTCTCTATGTATGTAAATACTTTAGTGCAAATTTACTTATACCTCATTAGGAAACCAAATTAATAAAGGAGATTAAATGTCACAACTTATTGAAGACATACATTTTTGACATTAACTATAACTTTTAAAACATTTATTCATGTGTGATTATCATTTAATTTTTATTTCAACCTGTATATTTAATTTTCTTTTCCAAGAAGACATCTGTTAAAGACATGGCTGACTTTCCTGTCCCTACCCAAGATGTGACTACTAGTGATGACCAACAAGGTAGGAAAAGAATTAGTTTTATTCTTAAAAGGATGTCTTCTTCCATTTCCTCATTGATTTCTCCCAGAACAGCTTCTAGATCATATGAAGACATTGGGTCATATGGATACTCATTTGGATATGTTCAAGTTGTTGTCATAAGCCTATAGTTCACAAAGTAGCAGTAAGACCTTTTGTGTCTGAATCACCTTAATTCATTGGTCATTGTTAATCTGAGGGTATTTTGAGGTGTTATATTGGATTCTGGTCCCATAGTATGGAAATGGAAAGGATTAGGAGATTAATATTTAGTGTTGGCATAGATAATTTGGGAAACAAACAGCACTAATATATACATTTGTATACAGATCTAACCCATAAAGAAGTTCTTTCAGATAGAATGCCAATCTTAAAGCTTTATCTGTTTCTCATAAGTCTTAAGGATGCGAAGGTGTGATATGGAGGCGAGTTTCAATTTGCTTATTTTACTGAGTAGCTGAGAAGGTAGTCAGCACAGTGTCCAGTGTTAGAGATACCCGCAGACATGGGGCACATTGGTCTGTAATATCCACAAGTGCAGGAAGGACCCTCTCCTCTAAGGACCCTGTACTTTGTATGATCCTTCTATGACTTACCAGGTCCTTCCTCGTATACTGTCTTACGTACAGGCCTCATAAAACTAGTGCCTTTCTAAATCACTTAACATTTAGAAATAAGCAGCGAGCTCAGGCAGGCAGTATGAATGATCTACTTTCACAAAAAGAAAAAAAGACCTGGGACAGAAACCAAGAGTTTCTGTCTTAAGCCAGTGTTCCATCTGTTACATCAATTCACCACTCACAAGTAGGAGAAGCCAATCTGAAGTGAAGCCATTTCAGGTTTTACTGTTGAGCCCTGCCATTAATTCAGCCTCACAGAGACATGAAACATGAAAAAGAAGTTTTCCATCAAGCACTGAAAGTTCCATACTTTCTATTTAAATGTTTGTTTAGGACATTCAAGTGGAACTAGACATTGTCTACAGCTGATCACTCTCATAACTTACAAGTCTTTGCCTCAACTACAAAACTCTTAAAACATATTAAAACATAGGTTTAAATCCCAAACATTCTCTTGTCATTGATTGACCATTAAGAAGGAAAATGAGAAATTTCAGATCCTTTTTGGTAATTCTAATTTGGTAATTCCTAACCACTAATGGCATCTCTCTAGAAAGTTGAAATTAGGCCTTCCTTTTGTCCATGGAGAACCTGTTTCCATGCTTTATGAGGTTTTCATTGTTCTAGAAATGCTATAGCAACTCTAGAGGTTTGTAAGACCTTTTTAAACTGATGGATAGGAGTTATTTGTTTTAATGTAATGTATTTCAGAAATAAAACTTCACAAGGCCTTTGTTTTCTTTCTTCTCCTTTCTCTTTCTTCTTCCTTAAACATGAAACAAAATACTACTAGCTTTGAAAAGTACTGTTAACGAATCCTTACCAAAGGACGTATCTGAGGATACAGGTAGGATGAAACCATTTTAATATGTTCTCTATCCAATAACCTAATTGTAAAAACCTCAGCTGTTTGGTGACCCGAAGATTACTGTGTCTGTGATAGTGTCTGTGTCTGTAAATTTTTGGCTTGTGTTTTGTAAAACAAGAAGCCTTATGTTTTCTACCATCTCCCTCTCTTCAGATAGAGAATGACTTTAGGCTCTGAGTTTAGATTTCATTCAGTTTGAATTTAGAAGTATCAAATTGGGACAGTAATTTACATAAATGCCTGTGCTTTATATGTAAAGAACTCATAAGGTGGATTAACTAGAGGCCCAGAGTTGGTATTTTCACTGCCTAAGTGTCAATCTCAAATATCATTATACTCTTTCTCTACCAGGAAGGTACTGCTTAAACATGGAGTAGATTCCAAGGAGAAAAAGAAGAAAAGTTATGAAGTCAGTTTCTTGGAGTAAATGTGTCTGGAAAACCATAGAGAATTTCTGGACCTGTGCTTCTAACTTTTTCTTTTAAACCTATTTATTTAATTTTATGTGTGTATATGTATATGCCTGAGCACATATATATGCCTTATATATGTGCATTGCTCATGGATGTCAATAAGAAGTGTCAGGTCCCTGGAACTGGAATTACAGATGGTTGTGAGCTGCCATGTGGGTGCTGGGATCTAAGCCCAGGTCCCCTTCAAGAATAGTAAGCTATCTATCTAGCCCCCTCAGCTCTCTCTTAATAGAGATGTCACTGAAGTGAGATAAACTCTGTTAAAAATCAAATGGCTCTAGAGAAAGCATCTTTTATTTAGATCTTTGGTTATGAAGATTAGAATGAAGTTTCCCTTTTCTTCTTTATTATTATTGCTTTTGCATATTTACAATGTAAATACTGTTTCTTATGGTTGACTAACTATCATCCTGAGCTTGTTTAAAGTTGCAACAAAGGAATCAGTAGGCTACTGGAGCTTATGCTTATGTTTCCCAAATAATAAGTTCATGTGAAGTTTAAAAGCAAAAGTAGGATAGAGAAAGAGGAAATAGGAAGAGATAGGAAGGACTGGACAGAAGAAATCCCAGTCCCAGGTGAGTCTGCTATGTGGCCTATTTGGAAACCACTACCTCCAAAAAGCAATGCTGCAAAATAGGAAATTAAGATGATAAGTCAATCATGACTCTAAAGTCAGTGGGAATTCTCAAGCCTGATTTTGACTTTTGAAACATATTTGAATCTATTCATCACAGGGGAAATGTTCTATTTGTGTAGGCTAATTCTAAGCATCTTTGATTTCGGATGTTAAGGTAGGTACTTCGTAAAATTCATGGCATGGTATTAGTAAAAGCTATTTTAATTTGGAGTTAAATTAATGCTTCTCCTATAGGCTTTGAGAATCCTAAGTTTTTCTATTTGTTCCAGAGATTTCAGCATGAGATCAAGTGTTTTGTGAGGCATGAGCCTTGGTTTTCATTTTTAACATTCCTTGATTAGGATTTGACACCACCAGATAAAACCTAACAGGTGTGCCACAGCACATGAAATATATCTAAATTTGTTTCACATTGTCTGGGAACATGCTGTGTGTTTTTTTGATTTATTCTTCCTACTGCTGCCCCCTTCTGGATATGATGTAATTCTGCATCTCAAACATATTTAATAGCCTGTTTCCTGGGAAGTCACCACAGCTTCCCCCTGGGAGATAGGTGAGTCACAAGATGGTAATTATAATTTTGGTAGTCAATGTACTGGAGACAGTTCCTCTCAGCTCCACTGCAGGCTTTTAGGTTAATCATTAGGTCTGTGTCATCTTCCCTATCTCATTTCCTGGAAAGATGATGAAAGATAACATGCCTGGAGTGTTCCAGGAAGTTGCCATTTTCCCCTCTCTCCAGCTAAATGAGAAGCTGTGATCCATCCATTGGCTTTTGCTTGAGCTTGCAACATAATGTGCCCTTGCCATTTTTGCAGATACTCACATGCACTGGGGAACTGAGTCAGTCTGTTAGGGTGGTGGATGGAAGACTTAACTAAGAGTGGTACTGTTGAGGATTTTGTAGTCTGAAACCTGGACCAACTTACCAAGCTGTGCCTTGGATACATCTTTGCTGGTAGAGAGGAAAATTATGTCTCTGCTCTGCTTATTATTACTGTACATGGTAATACTGCTGATAGCAGTGAAAGTGATGTGGTGGATGACAGATGAGGGCTACCAAGTCATTAGGGAGTGAAGATTCCTTGTTAAACATTTCCAGCATACTCTGACCCTTTCAGTTATTGGATGCATATGTATTAGTGGAGTCTAAGACGTGTCATGCCTCATGTTCCAGTCTAGCCTAATTCAACCACACACAGTGCACAGTAGTACTTGTCATCTTGCTTCTGGATCATGATGAGGTGTTCCTGTGCAGTATGGTCTCCAGATTGCTGTGGGCAGTTCCAGGTGTTGTTCCGTTGCTTTTGAGCAGCTCACGGTCCTTCGGCATCGCAGCATTTCTCGCCTTCTGCTACTTGCTCCATCTCTACCTCTTTTTATCCTGTAAGGAACTAAATTCAGAATCCAGATGTTCAGACCTAGAATATTAGGGACCTTTGTTTATATCCTCTACAAAAGGAACTGTTTGCAGTTCTGCAGGACATTCACATTCCTAGGACTCCAGCCTTCTTCTTTGTCTTTGTGAGAGAGGGATTTGTTTACCATGTGAAGAAAGGACAGCTCAGCTGGTTAGCGATGTGGCTAGGGGGGAGTACCTGGGGTCTCTGGACCCCAGCCTAGTCTCTGCTGTTTCTTTCTTCATTGCTCATCCACACTCCTACTCCATTTGTCTGCCTGCCTGTCTGTTTAGCTCTCATTAGCAGAGCTAACCCTTCCTTCCACACCATCCCTGCAGCAGCACAAAGATAATGATAAAGACAAATGACAAAGGAGTTAATGGCTAGGACTTTTGCAACTGAAATATTTCTGAAAAGCAGTGAATTCTGAAGGAGAAGAGGAACATGGAGGAACAGTGGTGAGCCTACTCAGAGGCTGCCTCTAGCACTGCAGTGACTCTGGTCGCAGGTTTGCCTCCTAGCTCCAGGGCAGTCTCTTTGGCTGAGGAGAGTTGCCTCTCTTTGCTTCCTGGAGTTTGATAGGAAGTAGGGAGGGCTTGTTCCTTCTTTGCCTAGGTCTGTGTGCATGGTATGAACAAGGAGAGTCTCAGTCTTGTTGGCTTTTCCATACTTTTGTTGGTGAGGAGGGGGCTATGACAACATTTCATTTGGAAGTTGAGACATGCCTGGTCTCACTAGGTTAGGAGAAATGGCTCTTTTTTTGTAATGCAGCTGACCACATGTAAGGAAGGGCTTGCTCTCTGGGGAGTTTTTTTGTGCCTTGCTGGTGTTTATGAGAATTTTCAGCTCCTTTTCTTCCTTGCTTGTCTAACCCAAGGGTTTTAATGATCATCATCAATCTATGCTGCTTCATACCAGAGGAGGCTTTTATCTTTGGAAGAGTGTAAATGAGGACGGAATAGTGCAACATGACACTTTCTTTTGGATAAATATGTGAAACAAAGAAACAAATTATATTCTCCCCATAGCACTTTTCCTGTGGATTTTTATGATAAAAACTTGCAGTGCTTGCAAAACCATAGCAGAGCTCTGAGGTTTTAAAGGCACCTTCCACAAAGAAGTGGAAACACAAAAGAGGACTGATGCTTTTGTAAGTGTTTCTAATCACTACTACTACTTCTGATGGAAATGTGGGTTTCATGGCGATTGGTACTGAGTACATGAGCTTCTTATTTAGGTTTGATGAGGAAAAGTATGGTTGAAACACATTTTAATCCATAGTATTCTTTGTATGATTTGGTCACAGAGACAAGGGAAGTTTCTTCCTTCCTTCCTTCCTTCCTTCCTTCCTTCCTTCCTTCCTTCTTTCCTTTCTTTCTTCCTTTCTTTCCTTCTTTTTGTATAGAGGGAGGGTTTTGAGATAGGGTTTAAATCTGTAGTTTATCCAGACTATTCTGGAATTTACCATGTAGCCTAGGCTGTCCTCAAATCCACGGTGATATTCCTGAACCAGCTTTCCAAGTGCTGGGATCATAAGCATGAGCAGCCACACCTGGCTATGGATATTTTCTTATAGGAAAAGCTGCACACCATTTTCCTTTTTTTGTAAGAGCTTAGCCTTCTCATGATCATGGTAACCATGGTACTTTGTGCATGCACACACATATGTACACACATGCGTACATATACATGCATGCATGCATGTGCACAGGATCTCATTAAATTAGTCTTGGTTGGCCTAACTCAATATATAGACAAGGCTGGCCTTGGACTTGTGGCAATCCTCCTGCCTCTGCTTCTAGAATTCAGGTATTAGCCACTCAGCTGACTCTGGTAATATTATATAGTTAAAGAAGATATGCAGCTAGATATATTCCTAACCTTTGTGGGAGACTGGTTTCAAGTCTATTATTAGACTATCATGAGAGACCAAGAAGCCCTCAGGTGGGATCTATCATTATATAAAAAGGCAAGCTCTGAATTGGGTTGTCTTTTTATCTTGGAATGTCTCCATTAATCCATTTAGACTTGAGAATGGCCTTTCAATGTTTCAATGAGAGAAAACTTGCTGGACTTCTTTCCCTCTTTTGCCTTTAACTTTAAAAATAAAATAAGAATTATCATGGTGTAGAAGCCCCTGCATTCTCACATGGGTACATCAACCTCAGTTTTGCTTGTTGCTGTGTTCTATACTAGCCCAGGTACTACTCACTACCCTGATTAGCTGACAAATAAGAAGCCAAGCAACCAACAGATAATCTTTTGTTTCAGCAACTTCTAAGGACTGCAACAGTCTCAAAGCAAGACCAAGATCCAGGTAGTGTTTATTTAATTTCTCATTTGATGCCCTTTGTGCCTTTTCCCTGCCTAGAAGTAAATCAAAACCCCCAAAACCACATCCAAATTACTATCTGGTTTACCATTAGATTTGAATCCAAAAGATGTGGGCCATTCCACTTCTCTAGAGTAGAATGGCCCACATAGTGATGCTGGAGAACCTTTTACTCTTTGTGGGCATTAGTGTTAGAAGATTGTGGCTATTGTTATCTGGATCCCTGACAGAAGGCAGTTTGTGTAACAAGACTGAGCTGGGGTAGGATGATTAGTAATAGAGGGGTATAGCTTTGTTAAGAGGAAACTAGGGTTAAAAGGTAACAACTCAAGTTTCTGTGAATGTGAACACCTAAACAGTAAGAACTCTGGAGCAGAAAATCTATAGAAGGGAAAATGTTTATGGTGACTTGAAGGAGACACTGGGCTTCAGGTAAGCACTACCTAGGGTCTGTTTGAGCTGTTATTAGTGCCTTTTCTCAGCTTCACAGTTTTAAATAGCCATCAACAAAAGAGGGAGAACCAAGAGAACAGAGTTGTGGCTGTTATCAGACTTGGAAGAGAGGAGCAGAGGGTGAATACAGAGACACTGAAAGAGCTCACTGAAGACAGGAGATACTGTGGCCACTTTTAAGCAGTAGAGCTGTATGGGCTACCATGTGGTTGGTTGGTTGGTTGGTTGTTGTTTTTTTGTTTGCTTTGTTAACTTCCAGTGACTTATTTTCCTCCTTCAGCTTCAGCTCCTCTATACCACTTCCCATGTTGATTTAAACAGTATCATATTTTATGCTCTTAAAAATTAAGGAATATTATCTCAATGGAAATCAAAGAATTTAGGATTCATTTTCTTGTTCATATAAGTCATAGATATTTACATTAGTATATATTTTAAACAACAATTAATTTGAGTAAAAAGAAAAGAAAAGTATGGTCACTCTATGATGACCATATTTATTCATTCTGTTTTTTTAAGGATTGGCAGATTCTTTACATATTAGTCTGTACTAGCTTTGGGATATGGAAATCATAATATTAACCCACTTTTACAATAAGAAAGGCCTTCCATGAATTGCAGAAATGAGCTGATATATACTATATTAGCCACAAATTGAACTTCATAAATATGGCTTTGATATATACCATATTAGCCATTAAATTAAACTTCATAAATACAGCTTCTGCTGAGTTCTTGTCTCACCCCACAATGAGTGAAAGTATAAAATCCCAAAGTCACACCCTCCACTAGTAATGATCTGGACGAATTTAATATTAACAAAACAAAACAAAACAAAACAAAACAAAACAAAACAATGAAGATCATATACAGAAAGGAGGTATGGGATAATATGGAATAATACACACACACATACACACGTATATATGTATATATATGTGTACATATATGATTATGGGATAGTATGTATATGTGTGCACAAGCATGTGCATGCTCACACAAACTATTACACTTACATTTTTATACTTATTCTTTCTTCCTTGAGTAGATCATGTCACCAAAGCTGTATACATGACATTGAAAGATTTTTTTTTTCTTAAACTTCTAACTAGGAACTCTAGCTTACTTTATAGAGCAATTGTTGATTCCCTTTGGTTCTGTTTGACAGAGTTAGAGAGCTTTTCCTTTAGTTCTTGTCTTTGTTTGTCTTATCTGTCTGGCCAGATACAGTACAACGATCAACCAAAGAGAATTCCCCCATACCATTATTATGGCTGTCTTAAAGATTGCTTCCTTGTAAGACAAACAAAACCTGTAGACACCACATAGAAACCTTGAGAAACTTTTGTTTTTGGAAAAGAAAAACCTTGCCTAGCAACAGTTAATTATGAATTGGACCTCATGGGTCCCTGCCCCTCCCTTCTGAACTATTGGTTACTGATGGATTCTGGAAAAGGAGCAGCCATTGTGTCTAGCTCCATAGCCCCAAGGAGTTCACCAGGCACAAATAGATAGTTCCAAGCTCATAGTCATACACACAAACCTCAGTGGGTCTAATAAACACAGAAACAAAACAAAATAACAAGCAAAAAACCTCATGAATGTAGGGAGGAGACTTGGGAGGAAGCAGAGATAATAGAAATGGGAGGTCTCTTAGCGAAGGGACTGTAATAATCCAAGTGTACATTACACATGTATGAAGTGGTCAAAGAACAAATCTAATACAAGTTAAAAGCAAACAAAACTTCGCTTTGTCAAAAACAATTTTACCCAAATCTCAAGGAGTTTAATAGCCATTGATCAACTCTAATTTAGGAAGAACTGTTGCCATAGCTAATTACAAAAGCCAGGTTCCTCAAGGTAATTTCTTTCTCAGATGTATCTTGCTTCAGAGGTAACTTTCTGCTGTGACACAAAGTCAGCTGAGAAAGGGAATAGAAGAAATGGACACATTTCTCCATGTTTTTCCTGATCATCATATTGGGAACCTGTCCTGATCAATAACCGAAAAAGTATGGTGTTGAATTAACATAGAAAACAAGTATGTTGCCAATATCCTAGCGACTACTTCAGGAAGATTTCTTCTCTGCTTCACAAGCATTGAAACAACACCTTAAAAACGGAAACAACAGATTGGAGTTTGCAGCATTCTGGCTTTTCTTCCATTTTCTTTAAATGTTATTATTATAGTGTCAGAAGTCACCAAATTAACTGTGCTTTGCTGCACTTTAAAGAAAGTTAAAATTAAGCCTTTGCTTTGAAAATTTCCATAAAACCCTTATTTCTCAGGGCAAGGCTGGCTAACTTCCTGAAGCTGATTGCTGTGTTTTCCTTTCTGAAGCATCATTTGTGGCATAAGCCTTGTGTTTGAGTTCTTGGTCAGTGTGGCAGTCTCAATTCCGCATGTGCCTGTGATCACATTTCTAGTAAACCAGGGTTTTAATCAGCTAATACCATGAAGCCCTTTTCCTAAAACACATAAGGATACAAGCTGAAAGACTTACACATTGTTCTTATTAACAACTATCACAGAAACTGATTTGAATTTATACAAAACATTTTTTGAGAAATTGTAAATTTAGGCCTATTATAAGGGCAAAAAAAAAAAAATCCCAGTCATGGCTGGGTTTGGACAGTTATTATTCACAATGACATTTAGGGACAGTAGAAGTTTTAGTTGCCTTTTGGCACCTTGTCTGTTCTCTGCAGTCATTTTGACTTTGGGGTATTTTCTGTTTCAACCCAGCTTCAGGGAATAAAGCTCTGCTCTTTTCCCTCTGACCTTCCCTTATTTTGCTACAGATCTTATTCTAGCACCTCCATAGAAGAGGCCATGAAAAGGGGTGAGGACCCCCCCACCCCACCACCACGGCCACAGAAAACCCATTCCAGAGCCTCCTCCTTGGATCTGAATAAAGTCTTCCAGCCCAGCGTGCCAGGTGAAGTGTCCCTCTGCATCCACCCAAACCATTACCCTTCCTGTTGGAGCCAGTCTATGTCTCTGCTGCAAAGGCCTCTGTGTGTTAGGGAAAAGAGCAGACAGACCTGGCAACTTTCCTTGCCATGCAAGTCTTTATGTTGCTGTGATATTCTTGGGCAGGAAAATATCCCAGACAGATACATAGCATATGAGTCTGGAGACTTTCCCACACTGCTGAGAATCAAGAATTATGAAGTTCTTTTTTTTTTAACTAAGAGAATAAAAATGCTTCAACTCCAGACAGCCCACTGTGAGCCTGCTTGACTGCAGCCTTGTCCTCTATATCATGGTCATTTAAAAATAAAATCAGTGGTAGTTTCCTGAGACATTGGATGGTTCTTTGAGGTCAGAGCTCAGTGGTCAGCACCTGGCCAGAATCTTCTATGGTAGTTTATCCTTTTGTTCTTAGGGTTTAATTCAGAAGACTCCAAATCTGAATGATGTTTGGGTGGTGGGTAGAGGGTATAGCACTCTGGGCCTTGTGGATGGGCTGCTTTGGAGTTTCTAGAAAGCTGCGCTGGGGCGGGAGGTGTCAGAGAGGACTGCTTTTTCCCTTACTTCCTTCGAGATGCGGCGTGTCCTCTAGGAAAGCTGAGGAACAAAATGTAGGAGATATACCTTTGCTTCAGTACAGGTGACAGCAGAGAAAGCATTGTCTCAGATGTCATGTGGGGAGCTGCAAGGGCCTTTCTACTGATGTATGTAGGAAAACTATCAGTGTGATTTCCTGAAATGTTTTCTTGATCTTTGTGTTGTTTAAATCAAGGCAGACTTGGCTGCTAGTGATGTGTAGAGTTTTACCTTTTTTTCTAAAGCACAGTATCTCATTGGCTCTCACATAGCATGACCTCAGTGTCCTGGCAGAGCTCAGGATGTTTCATTTGTTCTAATAAATATTCTCCTCATAGTGAAGGAAGTTATAGATTGTTTTTTAAATATACTCAAATCCAGACCTCATTCTGAAACTGATTCTCTGCAATGAGTTCATCAGATAAAAATTTCTCTTAAATCTTCCTTCATACTTTGTTCCAAATTCTGACATACTTTCATAGTGGTTGGTCTTTAGGGTAAGAGTAGCCAAAGTAGCCATAGATGATGATGTTATGAAATTTTCACATGGATATAAGAATAGGAGAAGACTCTACTGTGATTGCAAAAAGACTAAAATAATATGGAATTATTATGTCAGTGTCTTTCCCTTACATGGACTGAGAATGGAAATGTATGTGCATCTCTCAATGTATTTGAAGCACGGGTAGATGCTTTTTGCCTGTTTGATTTTCAGAGAGTGAGCTAGTCTTTTGTCCCAGATTCTTTATCTTAAAGTAAGGCCAATATGTGGTCTTTGGGATTGTAAGGCTTTGGTTAGTTGATAAACATACTTCAAATGTTAGCCTGTATGTATGTACCCAAGGCTCACATTTCCATGGCTGAAAAGTTCCAGGGGCAGCCTTGATACTTTGTTTGTGAGTGATAAGGATAAAGTCCCAGGACTTCCTTGATGCCAGTGGATAGTTCTGTGATTCTTTTTTTTTTTTTTTTTTGAGACAGGGTTTCTCTGTATAGCCCTGGCTGTCCTGGAAGTCACTCTGTAGACCAGGCTGGCCTCAAACTCAGAAATCTGCCTGTCTCTGCTTCCCAAGTGCTGGGATTAAAGGTGTGCACCACCACTGCCCAGCTCTGTGATTCTTTCTAGAAGGTTTTTCAGAAGGCTTTGAGAATGACCAGACTAAGGTTTAGTCTGTCATAGCACCCATTTGTTAACAAATCTTATATTTTTCTATCCTCCTGCTCTATCTTTGCCGATAACCATATAAGATGCACTCTCAAGTTCCCACCTTGAGGCTGCTTTAGGGAGATTCTAAATTTAAGCAGTGTCTTTTAACATCTTCAATGGTGACATATATTTCTTGATGAAAAGTATTTTGGTTTGATAAATGTGTTGGAGAGAACTCCTTCATTATGTCTAGATAAATCTAATAGTTGTATTAAAAATAGCTAACAGGGTACTAGGAAAGATGACCCAGTTGTTAAAAGTATGGGTCACTGTCCCAGAGGGACCTAGGTTCGGTTTGCAGCACCCACATGGCTGCTCATAAGTGTCTATAACTCTAGTTCCAAGGGATCCAACACCCTATTCTGGCCTCCATGGATACTGCATGTATGTGGGTCACAGACTTATATGCAGGCAAAGTACATGCACACATATGATGATGATAGCTGGGCAGAGAGATCTGCATTCATAACCCAATACCATTGTCTTTTAAGAATAGGTGTACGCAAGTGGATTTTTTTGTTTTGTTTTGATACAGGGTCTCGTTTAGGCCAGGCTGGCCTCAGAATCACTATGTAGTCCCAGAGTAGTCTAGAACTTGTAGGGGAATCCTGCATCAGTCTCTCAAGTACTGGAATCCAGCTTACACAAAAGGCTTACAGAAATAAACTTTTAACAAGCAGTTTAAATTTATCTCATGAGGAATAGAATGTTTCTTTAGTATAAAAGCAGGTGTTATCAATGTGTCTTAGGTTTCTATTGTTGTGATATAGCCCTGAGATCAAGGGAACTTACAAAAGGGCTTATAGTTCCAGAGGAATAAGACGAGTCCATCACCATGGTAGTTGGAAAAGTGTGGCAGTAGGCAGGCATGACAACTGGAACAGCACCCAGAAAACTGGTGGCTTACATTTTAAAGCACAAACAGGAAACAGAGAAAACCGAAAAAGCACAGGCCCTTAAGCTCTCAAAACCTGTCCTCAGTGACACACTTCCTCCAGCAAGGCCATACTTCTTAGGCCTGCCTAAACAGGACCGCCAACAGGGCCAGGTATTCGAATGCCTGAGAATAGGAGGGGCATCGCACTCAAACCACCATACATTACATCTACTTAATTTGCTTTTATATTAGTTCATTCTTACAGAAAAGTACAAGAGGTTTTCTAAATTGCATATAATTTTATTATGTTCTATATTTCTAGAAAATATTTAAAATGTGATGAACCAGGAATGTGTAAAGTAAAGAGATGCTAAGCATACCAGAGGAGTCTGTCTAAGAGAACTTACATGATCATGCTCATTACACTTGTCTTTAGACTTCACTTTTAGACAAACAGGATCAGACTACATTTGCTGTTCCATGTCCTGTCCTTTCCAATTAGCCTCCTCCACCCCCCATTTCAGTGAAAAAGAATGTATCATTCTTTTTAATGCATGTATGATATGGATATAAAATAGTTGATTATACACTGGTGGAAAAAATTTTCCCAACAGACACAAACCTTCTTTTCCTCCCCCACAATCCCACTTTGCTCTTAGGATTAACCGAGGCAAAAGTTATCAATGATTTCAGATCTACATTACCTTTTCTCACTAATTGTTTTCTTGTGTGAAATCCCAAATGTAAGAATTTTGGGATCAAAGGCTAGATGATTACAGTGCAGATGTTATTGCTAGACTTCTGCAGAAAGCCCATGAGCTTGCTTTATTTCTAGCATTGTTTCAGTGTGTCCCCTACACCCTCAAACATCAGTCTTCTTTTTGACTATAGGCAAAAACTTTACTGATTCCATTTAAGTTCAAGCATTTTTTCCACACTATTATTGGCCATTATTCATCTTTTGTGACTCATCTGCTCAAAGGGTTCACCCAGCTTCTGTTGACTAATCACAGGTACCATTTACTATATTTTTTCACCTATCCTAAGAACTTCTGTGCTTCTCTTCTCCAAGGTATGCGAGAATGTCAACATGGCAGTGGATAGCTGATGTGATCTGCCACTCGGCTAGATCCTTATCCCTCCAGTCTCTCCTTCTGCTAATTTTGTCTTTTAACACAGTCTATCTGAGCTGCTCTGTTTATAAAAACAGGAATAAGAAAAGGTATGGGGAAGAAGGGGAAGATGGTTTGAGATGAAACAAGATATTGACTTGAGTGGAAAAAACCAAAGCCTTCTTTAAAAGGTGGGGTCCACAGGGTGGTAGAAAGCAATGTGTACCGCCAAGGTGTGGAGAGATAGTAGCTTAAAGGGTAATGATAATATGGAAAAGAAATTGGATGGAGGGACTAGAGAAATGCCACGGCAACAAAGATCACTGGATACTCTGTCTAGTACTCAGTACTCATTGTGGTGGTTTGAATATGTGTGGCCTAAGGAGTGGCACTATTTGGAGGTGTCACTGTGGGCATAGGTTTTAAGACCCTCATCCTAAATGCCTGGAAGCCAGTAGTCTTCTAGCTGTCTTCCGAACAAGAGGTGAAACTCTCAGCTCTTCCAGCCTCATGCCTGCCTAGATGCTGCCATGATGATAATGGACTAAACCTCTGAACCTGTAAGCCAGCCCCAATTAGATGTTGTCTTTTATAAGAATTACCTTGCTCATGGTGTCTGTTCACAGCAATAAAACCCTAAGGCACTCATGTAACTCCAATTCCAGAGGATCCAACACCCACTTTGGACT